CCCCTGACAGGCTTCTTGAGGGTGAGAGGGCAAGTCCAGGCTGCCCCAAGCTGCCTGAAGCAGAGCTGGCCCTGTAGAGCTGCTGCCCAGCAAGTCTCAGCCTCTCCCGGGGCTTTTAATACAGCCCCATCCCAGGAGCTCCACCCTGGCTGAGTGGTGGGCCACCCTCTCTTCCACAGCCTGAGGTGTCCCCATCCATCCCCAGTCACCGTCACCGTCCCCACAGCCCTGCCCCAACGCGGGCAGCGCTGCACGGCCAAAGGCCTCATCCAGGACCGAGAGGGCGGGGGGGAAGAAGAGCACAGCACTTCCGATCCTCTGCACAAGCCTCCTCTGCTCTCCCAGCAACAATAAATACAAATAAATACAAACTCTTCCCACACTTTCTGCTCCCAACTCCAGGACCAGCGTGGGCAGCTTCACCCAGGGCCCCCCACCTAACTCTTCACTCCTCTCCCTGCTCCAGCCAAGTCTCCAAGCTGCTCCCCAGCCCCTGTCTCTCCTGGTGAAGCCCCCTCCATGATCCCAGCCCTGCTGCAGGGCATGGGCATGGCATCCATGCTGTCTAGCAGGACAGGGCGGCATGGGGAGGGCAATACTTCAAGGCAGTGCTGGCATGCTGGCCCTTTACTCATCTCTCCCCAAAGTGCTGGGCTGGAGGGTCCCTGGTGGCCCTGGGGGATGGAGAAGGTCAGGCCCGTGGTGAGTAGGAGGGGTTCCTCGGCATCTCCGTGAAGGACTTCAGTTCGTAGGGGATGCCTGAGTCGACCTCAATTGACTTGCGGGAGAAAAGCAGCCGGATGTCATTGTGAAGGTAGATCTTCCCCGACTTGGAGCTGTGAAACCTGAGTGGAGACAAGAGCAGGGAGGAGGGACCTCAAGCTCCCAGGCAAGGGCAGGCCTCGGTAGGGGCACAACCCCCTCGCCTACTTTGGCCCCTGGACAAGGTGGCCATACTGGTTACCTTCAGAGGCACAGTGGACACTGGCCTGGGGCAGGGTGACAGCTCTGACGTCCCTGAAGGAACAGGTGGTCCCTGCTCCTCCCCAGGGAGAGAGGCTCAGGCTGCCACCCTCCCACTCTGCCCTCGGGGGATGGAGAAGGTCAGGCGAGGGGTGAGTAGCAGGGGTTCCTCGGCATCTCTGTAAAGGATTTCAGTTCATAGGGGATCCCTGAGTCGACCTCGATCGACTTGCGTGAGAAAAGCAGCCGGATGTTGTCGTGAAGGTAAATCTTCCCTGACTTGGAGCTGTGAAACCTGAGTGGAGACAAGAGCAGGACAGAGGGACCTCAGGCTCCCAGGCAAGGGCAGGACAGCCTCAGCGGGGGGCACAACCCCCTCGCCCCTGGTCAAGGTGGCCGTCCTCTGGTTTCCTTCAGAGGGACAGAGACTGCTGCCCTCAGGCAGGGTGGCAGCTCTGACCTCCCTGAAAAAGCAGCCAGTCCCCCCTCTTCCCCAAGGTGAGGGGGTCAGGCTGCCATCCTCCTACTCTGGCAGGAGGGCCTGCAGGTTTGGGGGAGGCAGGGACACATGGGAGAGGAGCCCAGGGGTGACCCTGGGGCAGGCACCCATCTCTCCCGGCATGCCCTACCTTAGGTGCATCAGGTAGCAGAGGATCCTTCAGGGTGAGCTGGTACCCGGTGGGTTGCTGGGGGCTACAGTGGCCCTTTCCTCCTCCCCCACAGGCACCAGGAAGATGCGGTGGCGTAGGAAGGTCATGTGGTTGGCCAGCATGTCCTGGAAGTCGTACATCACCAAGAACATCTTCACCACAGTCTTGTTGGGGTTAAATAAGGTCTGGCGGCAGAAGGGTAGGGGGTGAGACTGGGAAGGGCACAGGAATGGATCCATAGTGCAGAGCTGGAGCATCTTGGGGCAGCACCAGCAGGCTCAGGGGTCCAGAGAGCCCCACCCCAGACCCAAAGGGCTTAACCTGAGGCCCAGAGGTCAGTCCTTTCCACCCACCTCCACTCCTGTGCTCCCATCCCATCCCATCACTGCTGTGTGTACACACTCTCCTGCTGAGATCCCATCCCTCCCCACCAATGTCTTCCTTCCCTGCATCTCCTATCACCCTGTCTCCCTGCCAGCACCCCAGGGAACCCCTCCTCCCCTCTGCTGTGCTGTCTTGGTGGCCACATAACCCCTCTTCACATGCTTTCTGGCTTCTGCCCTGCCAAACAACATAATGGAGCATATCCACCCTGGGGGGCAACCGGAGCCCATCGTGTCCCCTCCCTATGGCACTGACAGAGACCAGGGGATGGATGACTCACCACTTGGATGGTTCCAGCTTTGGGGACACTGTAACCCTTCTTTCCCAAGGCCTCCAAGTCAATCACTCCCTAGGGCAAAAGGAAGAGTACATGAGAGGGAGAAAGCCCATGGAGAGCCCAGCTGGGACACAGCATGGGGCCGAGAGCCCCTCTTGCCGGGAACACCTGGCACAAGGCAACAAGAAGCAGCTCAGCGCCTCTCCAGATCAGGGGGTGAACAAACAGAAAAACAGAGGTAACAGCAAAGCAACAGCCATGAGACAGCTGGGCAGCAGCCTGCCTGTTTATACGACTGCAAGGGCTCCCTCTTCTTTCCCTCTTTGCTTTTGGGGTTAAAACCTGCTCCTGACACAGCCAGTGGTCTCTTCAGGTAGGCGGTTGCTTGACCCACGCTCTATGGAGAGGGGCATCCCGCAGGATGCTTGGTGCCTGGATACCGCCCCCACTCACCTCTCCCATGCTCCCAGCCCTCCCTTGTCCACGTACCAGGAAAGGCGAGGGCACACTGTGTTGGGAGATGTCAAAGTAGGTGACGTCAACAGGCAGGGTGACATGCTGGGGGCAGTAGGAGCCGCTGGCACCAATCTCTGCTGTGAACCCCTCGATCCTCCCCGATGGTGCAAAACGCCCTTTCAGGATGGACTCCTGAGAAAGGAGGGAAGTGTTAGGGACCTTCAAACACCATTACTGCCCTTCGCCTCTAAGCTGCAGGTGAGATCACCCCCACCTCCACCCCAACCACATGTCTGCTTGCCCTCACGTGTCTCCCAGCTTTCCAGAGACCACTCATGGGTGACCCTGGCTGCTCACTCTGAGACAGACCCATCCTGAATTGGTGGACTAAAACCAGCCACCTAACACAGAGAAGCAACAAGAGTGCCTGGGCTCAGCCCCACAGCAGCCGTCTCAGCAGGGTCCAGGGTCCTGGCAGATCACCCAAGGATCTGCTGGCTGAGACAACCTGCTGGTGGGTGGTGACTGTGCGACACAGCCACTGCATGCCAGGCTCTTGGGGACAATCATGGATTCTGTCAGGTTCAGCCTCTCACACCTCTCACCAGCCCAGCCTGGAGACCCACCTCCCTCCCTGGGAGGTGTGTGCCATTACCTCAAAGTTGCCCAGCAGAGCATGGCTGACAGTGGTGGTGGCCCAGGATGCTGTGGAGGACCTAGTACCCCTCCGGAGGCTGTTTCGGAGATGTCGCCTTTGAGAGAGAGAAGATTGGTGTTGGACTGGAGAGCATGCAGCCCTGGGCTGCCCTCTCCAGGTCCCCCTGTCCCTTTCTTTGGTGGAGGTTGAACCCACTTTCCTACCCACCATGGGCAGAAGAAACCTCCCTCCACCCCACAGCCTGGGGTCTTGTAGAGGGGAGACACCTGGGGCAGGGAAACAACTCAACCCAACCCTCCCACAGGGTTGTGGGGTGCTAGGACGGCTGGTCACCCAGTGCCCCCACGTCCATCCTGTGGGGCTGCTGGGACACTCACAATTTGAGGCGCAGCCCGCTCTTCACCCTCCTCCCAAGTGCAGTGCAACCCGCAGAGCTCTGGAGGGGACAAGAAATAGAGAATGGTGTTAGGGCAGCAACTACTCGCCCATCTATGGGGCCCCTTCGCCAGCCTCGGGGGGGCAGGGGGGGCAGCAGGGCAGCATGAGGGCTGCGGCATCTGGTGGAGATGTAGGACTGCCCCAGCCCCAAAGTGGCTCTGCTGGGGATGAGGGTGTTGGTACCCAAGCTAAGGGTGCAGCACACAGCTCCCACCTTGCAAAGCAGGTCTCAGGACCAGCCGCAGTGACAAGACACCCCCAAACACAGCCATGCACCAGCACCCCCTTGCACCTCCCAGGGAAGGGTAACACATACGATGAAGCTCCCTGACCAGCCTAGGAAAAGTCCCGTCTCCTGGTAATTCATGCAAAGTCCTCAGTAGTGCTGCTGGGCAGCGTGGTGTGCTGCCTGCCCCTGCCCCCTGCCAGGGTCCAACAGCAGTAGGGTGGAGGGTTAAAACCAGGGCCACACTGCAGCCTCCTTTTAAAGATGTCCCCTTTTCAGAGGTTTTCTCTTCTGGAAGCCACACAAAGGGCAGCACAACACAAAGGGATGATGGAGCTGGCTGGCATGACCGGGCGGGAAAACCCAGGGAAGCTGCTGGAGGGCTTCACACTGCAAGGGCAGTGCTGGGGGCAGCCGGGCTTGGGGAGTGTCACCAAAAAGGGCATGCGAGCAGGGATGGAGCTGTGCCCCACGGACTGTGTCCCCTGGCTTCAAGCAGCAAGAAGCCAGGGCAGCTCTGCCGTCAGTGTCCACACCATGGGATGCCCCAGGGAAGGTGAGGAGCGCGCCAGCTCTGGCGTGAGCCTGCTGCAGCCTCAGCTGGCAGGACACAGTGAAGGCAGAGAGCTGGCCAGGAGGGGCTGGTAAGCAGGGAAGAATCGCAGGCAGCTCCTGAGCTGCCAGGGTGGTCACAAACCTCCGTAGTCTGCCCCACTTTTGAGTTTGTAGCACCCTGGGGACACGCTGTGGGCACCCGGGAATTGCAGAAAAGCCACTGGCATCTCTGCACACAGCACTGGGGCTCCCGCTCCCTGACCAAAGCATGTCCAGTCCCACCCTCCACCACCAAACACTTGCCCTGATGGATAGCTATCACGGACGGAGACTCAAGCCACCCCACCCCTCTGCCTTCCTCCTTGTCAGGCAGGCAGAAGACAGCAGCTCTTCCCAAGCCTGACAGTAAGTCTGGCTTAATGTGAAGTTGCCAGACGCTGAGTGTCACCCCATGCCACATGTCCAACTACCACTGTCACAGGAAGATTGTGTCCTGTCCGAGCAAGGCTCTCTAGGCTAAAGAGCTGGTTGCAAGCAGAGGATCCAGTGACTAAAAGGTGTCAAGAGTTGGTGACAGCCTATAGACCATATGTCCCAGGGCTGGCTGTCAGCCAGTGTCCTGCTCACACCAGTGCTGTGGCACTGGGACAGGACAAGGTGCTGTGTCACGATGGACCACACTGCCAACGAGGACAGCCAGCGTCCCCAGGCCATGCCCCACCTCCCACCACGAGCGATGCTCACCTTGGCCGTGGGAAGCAGGTGATTCCAGAATGGGGCCCCCTTGGCATCAGTGCTGCGGCAGGCTGTGGGCAACGGATGGCATAGCAGGGCCCTCTTCTTCCTTGCTGAT